TATTGGTATAGTAACGAGGTGATGTTTGAGCACTAGCTGCCGGACTCCATGTTGTGATGGTGGATTCATCGTCATGTGGGTGTTTTTCCAGGGCACCGGTACCATTCAGAAAGGTATGCCTCATAAGTGCTACCATGGCAAAACAGGACGAGTCTACAACGTGACTCAACATGCTGTCGGCATTATTGTCAACAAGCAGGTCAAGTAAGTAGAAAATGGTTATTCTGTTTTACTTAAGACTCTGTAGTATGGGAGCTGTGTTCTTTGCTCTGAGGGATGAAAGTTTGCCTGAACCTCTGGTGTGTTTGTTTTAACTTTCTAAAACCCCCATCTTCACTTTGCCACCTGGAGCCTCTCTGTCCTCAGTGGTCATTCATGTGGGGGAGAATAGTTCATCCTCAGGCACCCCGGTCTAAAGCTGGTGTTTGGGCTTCGGGTTGTTTTGAGGAGACATCACAGGACTGCAGCTTTGCAGGGCATTGCAGACGAGCTGAAGCTGAAGCCACTCAATGAGGCAATGTTTTTATACCTGTGTTTGTGTTAACTTTTCTGTTCAGGGGCAAGATTCTGGCCAAAAGGATTAACGTGCGCATTGAGCACGTAAAGCACTCGAAGAGCAGGGACAGCTTCCTGCAGCGCGTCAAAGAGAACGAGCGCAAGAAGATGGAGGCCAAGCAGAAAGGCACCTGGGTGGAACTGAAGCGCCAGGTATGATTTGATCCGGAGAGGTTTAAGTGGAGAACATCATATGTTGCAGAAATGTATTCAAAGCGCCAAACAACTGCATTTCATTTTCTCTACAGAGATTTCACACTTTTAAGTGTTATTGACTTTATTTTTGTTTTCCTCCTCAGCCTGCTCCTCCTCGTGAGGCTCACTTTGTCAGCACCAAGAAGAACGAGCCCCAGCTGCTGGAGCCAATCCCCTACGAGTTCATGGCATAAAGTGCTCAAATTAATAAAGATATTTGTACACATCCCTTCTGACACGTCGTCGTCTTTGCGCACTCCTTTTTAAATGTGCAGCAGCTGTGATGGGCCCTCACTCGGTGATGATTCTCCTCCTTTGATTTCCAAAAAATGAAATCAAACGCACCTCATTTCACCGGCGAACTGAGAGTGACGGGCCTATGTCACAAGCATTTTATATTGTTTGCACCAACCACATAACTAGGAGAGAAACAGACAGGGCTGATGCCTTTAGATGTCTGCTTATAGCACTCCAGACTGCAGTTTTCTCATTGGTCAGAGCAGGACTGCAGTAGCTGGCTTCAGTCCTTGGGCGAAGAGAGTTCTGCATGTGTTAGATGCTCGCTTGAATTAGATGAATTATGTATTTTGAATTCTCTGCTATAACTTGGCTGTGTTGGAGCGCCTAAAACATGGAGGACACCGGTCCTTGAGGTCTGGAGTCGGATGTCCCTGGTAGAGAGGAAAGTTAAAAGCTATTTAGAGGGTAGATGTGTAGAAGTTATAATCTTTTGTTTTTTTTAACTGTCTCAACTTTCTCAAGTGTTTTACTTGTGAAATATTATGTGATGCAGTCACTTCCAAACTGTCTCAGAAACACACTTGTATATTTCCTCCAAATAATCCTCTGAAACTCAATAAAAGCAAAAACCATAAATCCTGAAAAGCAATTTTTCAGTCTTTAATTTTAGGTTAATTTTTGTTGCAATTAGACAAGCAAACTACAACATCTTCCAATATTGACGGTTTTTAAAATATTAAAACAGCAAATGAATAGAAGGATTGCTTCTGTGCAACCAAGAGTTTCATAGTGCAGTAAAAATAGTTTTAGAATAACTTGCATTATCTGTTCATCTAAATGTGACGGAGCAAATGGAAATCATTCTCAACCTGAGAATATATGTAGCTTGTAATGATTGCAGCTGTTCAGGAACCTGCAGGTTCAGATTTAACACTAAGGCTCCAAACCGGACAGGTTACATCATGAGATGTTATTGCATCGCTTAGGCTTTTCTTGTTTGTCCAGCAGGGGGCAGTGCGCACCATCTTGTTTTGCGCTGACTCCCAACAGGTCCAGCTTTAGCTTTACTATTTTTGATATGATCGATTATTACTCTCTGTCTTGACTATTCAGAAAGTGTTGGCTGTAGAATAATCTAATCTAATCCATGTTTGAATTTAATCAAATTAAATGGGACGTGTTTTCCTATTTAATGCAAAAATATTTGGGTTATTTCTTTTTTGTGTCTTGCTCCGTTTAATAAACGGAAACGGTATAATAAAGAGCCAAGTCTCTGTTGATGTGAGCCACTTTATGTGTGCTGTTTAATCAGTGGAGGCTGAATGGCTGGTTGGTTATGTGACAAATAGGTTATCTCAGCCCAGCTCAGTACTTTACCCAATATTGACACAAATTAGGACCAGTTTGCTGAGATAAGGCAGCTTAGAGAGGAGGAGAGGACCAAAGGATTCTTGTGGCAAAAACTAACATCCTTTTCCTTACCCTCTGCAATCATTTGGGTGTTTTTCGATTTTTTCAAATTAAGAAGTAGAGGTTACAGTTGCCAAAGTATTGACACCCCTTAAACATTTTCAAATTTTATGTGACAGGTTTATTTTCAAAGTGCAAAAAAAAAAAAACAACTTCTGGAAATGACTGGTATAGATTTTATTTAAGAGCCTAAATGCAAATGCATGCCACACTTTTCAGACTTTTACTCAAAAAACATTCTGAAAACAGTGCGTCCTGGTCCTACTCTGCAATTATTTGCAAAACTTGTCTTTCACATGAAATACCAAAAAAAAACCAAACCCTGCACTGACATTTGTGGTTGTCACATCGACTGTGAAATACTTTGAGGTTAATAAACACTTTACAAGGCATTATATTTGCAAGAGGATGATGAATCTTCTAATATGTGACAAATTAAGGTGCCTCTGATTGAAGGTGCAGAGGTTTTCCGTCCTGCTCCCCTGTAACCCTGCTGGCCTGAGGTCAGTAGATTCGGACACCAGCCTTATCAGTATAAAGTAATAAGTGTCCAACAACCCAAAGAGATAAAACCAGGAAAAGCAGATGGAAAAACAAGACGCAATCAATCAATGAGCAGGCTGGCAGCCAAAGCCCTTGGTATTGATCGGCACGGTTCGGATCCAGCTCGTAGTATTTAGATAATGCTGTCTGCACAGTCTTGTCCCGTACTCTCCCACTTAAAAACCGAATATAAAAACGCATTTTAAAGCAATCGTCTCACTCTCTCTAACATAAAACCCTTTTTTCGGCTACTTTCTTCTTGTTTTTCATGTGCTGTTTCAGTTTCTCACTGACTCATGGAAGTTACTGATTGAAAGACGAAAAAGCACGTAGTCTGAGGGGAGAGAGAGAAAGCAAAGCCAGTTGGTAGGTGGGGCTGAGAGAGAGCAGGCCTGTGGATAAAAGCTGCGGAGCACTATGAACTCCTTAATCACACACGTTTGACACACACAGATTGAGTCTGTCAGCTCAGCCAGCAGCTAGAGCAGCTGTATCGACCCGGGTCATTACACATTAACAACACACACACACACAGGCAAACAGTAGATAGCAGGACACGAACACGGTTTGTTTTGTGGAGCTGCTGCATAGCATGATATCCCAATATGAGCTCACACCATTTCAAATTACCTGGACTGGTCTGAATAAGAATGCGACATCTTCAAAATAAACACCATAGAGGTGTCACTGAAGAAAATAAAGAAGTTAACATAATCTGATCTAATTGTTCCCTGAAATGGAGCATTTATTTGCTCTAAAGGCTCTGATGCTTGTAAGGTCTCTGATGTGCTGAAGGATGCGGGAAAATCCCACCGCTTGCCAAACAGAGCTGCTGCATGCTGTATCTCTGTGTGCGATAGGTGGGGTGAGAGTCTGTGTGGTTATCAGGGGAAGCCAGGTGTAGGCGCAGGGGTACATGTGGCTATCGGGCCAGCTGTATTGATCCGCTCCCTGACGGCTGCGGAGGTGGTAGTGGGGGCGCCGGATGAGGAGGGCAGGAGGAGGCTGATAACAGGGTTTACTGGATCCAGGCTTGCTTACCTGAGAGCGTGGGAGGGCGCTGAGCTAACGCCCAACGCACACTCAATAGGCCTCATTCACAAAAGTCAGTCAAAGGTTTCACATGAGGGCAGAGCATGGGCGCATAAGGCGATCTGGAATGTTTGGACAAGTAGATAGCGTCTCTGGATTGTCCACCACTTTTTTTTTCTTTTTTTTTTTTCAAAGGATTGAAATGACATACGCACATTATGTTGCATAGTATAGTAAAAATGTGCATGCTCAAAAAAATCTCATAAACCCAGGAAAAGACAGAACCAAAATTTAAAATATAAAGAAACTCTTGGTTGTTTACAATAAAGAAATAAATAAAGACAAACCCAAATAAAAAAGATTCAAAATTTATTTCATTTGTAAATGAAGAGTAATTTACCGTGTTTAGCCATTATTATTATTATTATTATTATTATTATTATTTGTTATTATTATTAATTCATTCATTTATTTTCATTTATGGGTTACACTACATAGAATCTTGCTAGGAACTTTTTTTCCACAGCAATAAATCACACCTTCAAAGGAGATGCTGTTATTAGAGAGATTAGATTAAGATTAGGGCAGTAAAATCTGAACGTGTCATACTGATGCAGACAATCAGACGCCTTTTTTCCACATGGATCAGGAGTTCAGGTCACATTCAGCAGGCTGACATTTCTCCAGAGATTGAGTGGAAGGAGAAAACAAAAAGGGAAGATATTTCACTATATGTTTCTATCAGTAAATCTGATCAGAGGGTCTTCTAAAATATATTCTCCTCTTTGTTTAGCTTGAAAATGGCAGGACCACTCCTTTTTTTTTTTTTGAATGAAATGGTACGTCCCAATCAGATAAATGAAGCCCAGGTGGAGCCGCTGGTTGTGAGTCGTTGAGTGTCCTGCCAGTTTTCACAAACCCTTTGTTTGGGAAAACAGCCCAAAACCTGGCGTCTGTTATTAAAGATGGGTGAACGGTTGCAAAGTCAAAACACATTCGTTTGCTCTTTTTCTGATTGCAATGCCACATTTAGGAAGTTGTGGAAGTTAGAGGCTCATCTGTGCAAACACACTGGATTGGTAAGACTGCATGGTGCTGCCTCCTTTTCTTCCTGCGTTCTCAACTGAAGCTTGTGGGTTTGTCTTAGAAACCATTTTCCTGTGAGAGCTGTGAGAAGAGTTTCTGCACTCGCTATGAGCTCACCAGGCATGAGCGAGTGCATAGCGGTGAAAAGCCACATAAGTAAGACCCATAAGAAAATAAGAAAAGTCACCTTCTGGGAGTTATTAGTCACCTGCCTGGTTTGCAGGTGTCCCATAGATCGATGTTTGGAGGCCTTTGGGAAAAATGCCACCTTGAAGAAGCATATAGCTCGAGTCCACCAGTACCAGGAAGACCGATATAAAGTACAGCTGTTCTCCCTATTAGTTAAGATGAAAATGACATTTTCTGTTCTGCACATGCCTGCTTTCCCCTTCCACCCCTGTAGTGTGACTATGGAGGCTGTGAAAAGGATTTCAGCAAGAAGAAACAACTAAAAGCTCACAAGTGTGAGCATGGAGAACCATTGGCTTTTCAGTAAGTGGATATTGGAAACATTCAAAATACAAAGAACTGCCTATATGTTTTTTCTCTCTGCATAAAAGCTTCTCTACTTGCAGCTGCACATTCAACAAATGTGGGAAAGACTTTCCCAGTGGAGAGAAACTGAAGCATCACGAGAAAGTTCATCAAGGTTAGATGACTTTTTTTTTCCCCCAGAATTACTCTCTGAAACTGCTGGCTCTTGTTTTGCAGGTTACCCCTGCAGTTTTGACCTGTGTCCTACGCTGAGTAAAACATGGACTGAATATCTGAAGCACAGAGCCCAACACAGAGGTATTGTATGCCCTGCTATACTCATGCACTTTTTTAAAAAAATCTGAACTTCAATTAAACAAAATTCTTCTCAGAGAAGATTGTGTGTGAAAAGTGCAATAAACTCTTCAACAACACCTGGTTTTTGCGCGTGCATGAGCTGCGTGCACACTCTGCGGAGAAGAAGTACTTCCTGTGCCCCAGAGAGGGCTGTAACAGGAAGTTCACCCGTCGTGTTAAACTGGAGAGTCATGTACTGGGAGACCATGAGGGGAAGAAACCCTTCTCCTGTGCATTTGCTGGCTGTGGGAAGAGCTTTGCCTTGAAGGTAAGTGACAATGAAGCAACATATCTTAACTTAAAGCTCTTTTTAGAGCCACTCTACCAAAGAGTGATCAGTTTTTGCCTTTCATTTGCTTTAACAGGTCTTGAATATTGGCAAATTCATCTGTATTAGGGCAAATGTTACTCTTTATGAAGCCATGGAGAAACCCTTAGCTTTCTGACTTGTTCAGAAACATTACATGGATTACTTTTGGACGAAATAATACTCCAAACTTTCTGCTCAACAGGAAAGCTTATGGCGACATGGTGTGGTTCACAACCCTGCAAAAAGAAAGCTGAAGGTAAATTATGCATGTCGTCCTCAATTTCCTGTTCATATGACCATGATTAGATTTATATTTCTCTGCACTCCTTTCAGAAACGGAAGCCTAAAAAGGACAAGCCCTCGCAGGTTGCACAGGAGGCCACCCAGTCAGCTGCAGATGATCAAGAAGAAACCAGCAAGCTTGCTGCAAAGCTGCACAGTACAAGTCTGGAGGAAACCATTTCTTGAATCTTACTCGTCAGTCTCGGGGTGACCTTTAATTGGGGAGCATTCATATACTTCCTACTGATTCTGAAAGTGTGAATAAACCACCACTTAAAGTATAACACAAGCAGTCTTTCTACACCTCTTTTGTGCTAAAGCCACTAGTCCAAGTCAGTAGCTTGGACTAGTGGACTAGCAATAGCTACAATAGTAGCTATTGCTACTATTGTAGAAATGAACATTTTTTAATGCTCTTGCTGAGAATAAAAGGGTCAAAATTAAATTGGTGGTGGGGAGTAGTTGTTACAATGACATGTAATGCTCTTCAGGGCTTTTGAGGCACAGCAGCTTGTTTAAATGCCTGTTTCAAAGATTTTCTGGGAGGGTAAGGCAAGAGGGATTTAAATTTTTATTTAAGCTTGAAGAGGTCGTCCTGGTGGGAAATCTTCCTGCAGCCAATAAGATTCTTTCAGTATTGCCCTCTGTTGAATCATCTCCATTGCAAAATGCTGCAAAATGTTTCTTTAGACGGATGACGTGCAGTGCGAGTTTCCCTCCACACAGTGATTTTTAATATATTTTAGCATACAGTGTTTCCTTTTAGTCTAGGCAGGCTTTTTGTCTGCATGTTTGTCTCCCAACATGGCTTGTGGCAAATGGGTTTTCATTTTGGCTTCTTTCATGCAAACTTTATACTCACTTACCAACATATTCTATCCTCCCTGCTCTCGCTTCCTATTAACTTAATAAAAAAAAAAATCTTTTAATCCACAACCAGGCCCTTAAACTTCTTTGAGGAGCCTTCCAGCAGAATCAGACACGGAGATGCTAATCCTTAAAAGGAAATGTTTATTTAAACAAAACACACATTCACACATGTATAAAAGGTCAGCTGGTTGTATGGTGATGATACCTGAGGGCTGACCTCCCTCAGGATGCGGCAGGTTTCTAATAAGGCCTTGGGCTCATTCAGATGGAAACATCGCTGGTGAGGAAGAACAACTTGATGAAGGGGATTTGTGTTTTTTATTTTATTCATTTTTTTTTTCATCTAGGACGGCAGAGGATCAGATCACATTCATCGGAAACGTTTCGGACTCGCAACGATGCCTCCACCTGAATAAAACCCTGAGGTTCTACCACTGCTCAGTGAGGTGAATACAGCACAGACTGCATGTTAACAGTTGCAGCACAGCTCTCCCTGCGGGAGTGACGACAACATGACCATATGAAACACAGCAGTGTCTGTTCAGGAGTGCAGTCTGTCGAGTGACGTGGCACAATCTGGATCGGTCCCACCCCCCCTCTTGGTCCTGCTGGGTCTACAACAGTCCTGGATGCGTTTGGTCCTGGATTAAGCCCGGTATGGAGCGATGTACAGTAGTTCACTTTGGCCGAGGTTGTTCCCGATTTAGAACATTCTGGGTGAAGCCCGCTGGCTTTTGTCCTGGTTACACCAGGCTGCCGGGCCAGGAGACCACGGTCAGCGCCACCCGGCTGCGCTGCTCCTTTAACATCGGCACCAGAGCTGAGTGGCTCATTCCTGCTGTGGACAGGCCGTTTACTGCCACTATCATGTCTCCACACCTAGAGCAACACAGTTGGAGAAGTGGACTTTACACTGCAGCAGAAATGAGTTTTCCAACAGAGCTTTTTCTTTACCTTCTTCACCGTAACGTGGCAAAAATAAACATGCGTCTTCGTTCAGCTAAGCAATCAATCTCAAGATAAATTACAATTAGTTGAATGATTCCCATTCTGATGATCAATTTTTATTGATCTATGGTTTCAGTTGTAAGTGGGTTTTATTTAGATTTGTCTTTGGTTGTGATTTTGAAAAATATCTTCCACTTTCAGTTTCATGTTCTGCACAAAATTAAGGTCTCTGAGAGGGCAAACATGCATTAATATTCCATTATCACTATATTAATTGAAGATAGTCTCAAAATAACAGAAATATGCAACTTTCCTGAAACTTTTATAGATCTTACTAGTTAAATTTAGCAGAAAATACAAAAGATTTTTTTGGAAATAATCTTATAAGTATCAAGAAAGTAACCGGTGCATTCCAGGAGAGTTTCAGGAAAATATGCTATAATTTCCAGAAACTACACAATGAGTACACAATACTCATAGTAATTTGCAAGTTCCTGAAAGTAACTTCTAGGTTCTGGGAAACTATGTAACAGTTGCATAATAATCACTGAATGCTCACTTAAGGCGGCCATCGTAGTATGCAGGCGTGCCAAGGACAATAGTCTTGATGAAAAATGCCTGGTTGCCATGGCTTTCCTCATAGCCCCCAACGATGCTGAAGCCCCAGCTCCCGGGATGGCTCCTCCGCAGCACGATCTCATGGCTACTGTGCAGGTAGCTGCAAGAAGAGAGAAGTGCAGATATGCAGAATAAAGTCATCTACTCACACTTGAAATGCTGCAATACCTTAAAGTTGAGAGTGAAAGGATCCTGGTACTTTTTCCATATTTGTTACAAAGGCAAACCTGAATGCATTCTATTAGCATTTTATGTGATAAACATCAGCAATCAGACGTTGAGCCAGTCTTTCTCACCTAGGCAGGCCTAGCCACATGACCCACGAGGGAGACCAGTTTGCATCGAAGTCGCTGTCGTGGCCATGAGGCAGCAACTCGTCATGGTCGTGCTCCTCCACCATGCTGACCTCTAGCACTCTCAGCTGCACCGAGGGCGAAGCAGCGCTGGCCTTCAACGTCCCGACAGCCTCGCTGTGGCTCAGGTATGTCAGGTCCTGTCCGTTGATGCTTAGCAGCACATCACCTGACGGGAAAAAAGCACGAAAGAAAAAATGTTTTTCGGGTAACGCTCAGGTGTCCTGACTCTTGGCCGCTGAAAACGAGGGTGGACCTCTTTTGATTCGTCCATCCCGGGACAAGCAGCCATGTGGCTGAACGCTTGTCACAAAGATCGGCAGCTCCCCGCTCTTGCTGCCCCGGCCTCCTGCCACGGTCATGCCCAGGGACTCGAGGGGTTCCTTCTTCACAGTGATGTGTTTCTCCTTGCATGTCACACACTGGGAGAGATCCTGGGAGACATCAGAAATCACAGACTCGAATGTTTCCAGTTCATCCTGAGACACATCCTTCTCTAAAGACTCCAAGCTAAAAATACAGTTATGTAGGATGCAGATTGGAAAACTCGTGCACACACACACAATCTTACTCTGTGAGTGCTAGTGCGGGACAGGTGTACGGGCACAGGGCTTGGAGTAGAGCTGTGATTTGGCAGGAAGTGATCAAGGCAGTACAGGTCTCTGGTTGAGCTTGATTTTGGCGGTGGGGGCGGAGTGGGTTTGTTGGGTCGGCCGATCAGGAGGTGGACTCTCTCTCCGCTTGCCTGCAGAAGCACAACGATGATGTTTCAATCCCTTCATGCATCCGAACTTTGTTTGAAACAAAGATTTTTCTACATAAGTATCTTGATTAAATTGTAACTTACAGAATAAATAGTCACAAATGGTATCTAATGTGGGTTTGACTGATTTTATAGAAAAATACTACCAGTTCCTTTACAATATTTGAATAGAAGGTATGTTTTATTGAAATATATATAGAAATTATTTATTTTGATGATTTATTTATTTTCTATTTATCTTACCTATTATTTCTTTTGAAAACTTAATTTTTGCATATTTTTATACTTCCATTTGGGTCTCAGCTGCTTCTAAAATAGCCCAAGCACTTAAAAAACCATCCAGCTCCTTTGAGCAAGAAGTTCCATTTTTTTTTGTGTGTCTGTATTTGGAAAAAGAGCCATTTCAAAAACCTCTCGATTGCTGAGTCAGACTGTGCTGTTACAAGGAGAGCCCATCACCTAACAACCCAAGTACATTTGGTCAGCTGGTTTTACTGCTGTATTTGCTGTACAATGGCTGCTGGAAAACAAGTATTTTGTTGTTCACTTACTATCCAGGAATCACTTCCTACATTCTTGTTCCTTGTGCAGAAGGCTCTTCTTCTGCTTTTCAAAGATGTACGATTGTATGATTGTGCATCTGTTTGCAGCTATTTTCACGTGAAAGTGTAAACATTGAGTTGGGGGCGGGGCCAGCAGCCCTAAAACAACTCATTCTGAAAGGGGCTCAAAATCTGCAGAACTGAACAAACTAAAATCTCATTGTCTAATAATGATTTTGTGAGCAAAATGTTTTGAACATGTTTTGCATAGATCACAGATCTGTTCTAACCTGTTGAAGGAAGCATAAGACTTTTGCAGAGTACTGTGAATCTACTCCTCTTCTGATGACACCTAAATAATCTAACCATCACAACAACCTGCATCGACACCTGTATGATCTGAGCTGCCTGTTCAGGCGTGCCATGGCAAAGGTCCTGATCGTTGACAGCCAGCACTCTGTCGTTGCTCCGCAGCCTGCCATCCTTCGCGGCCAGGCCTCCTTCCAAGAGGTCCAACACAAACACCCCTGATTCGTCCGTTCGACGGACCAGCTTTATGCCGAGCTGCTCTGTGGAGTCTCGCTTGTGAAGCGTGATTCTTAGGGTGGCGGGGCTGGAGGGGGCGCCCTCGGGCGTGGAGCAGGGGGCGTGGGGCACAGCCGGGGTGGTGGAGGACGAAGAGGATGAGGAGGGAGGAGCCCTGGAGGCACAGCGGCGCTCCCTCAGCACGGTCAGCTGCAGGGTGGTGCAGGGCCGCGCCAGGGTGGAGCGGGCAAAACTGTGTGGGATGTTACTGATGTCCACGTTGTTCACCTTGGAAACAAATTCATCAAAGCAGATGTGCATTAATATAAATACATTTTTATTCTCAATAGAAATTAATGATTAATATTCCTTTTTTTTTCTGTTCCTAAACCAGCAGTTCTCAAAGATTTTCTGGGCCCCCCTGCACTGGCACTTTGAGGTCTTTACTTTGATTGGGCCATTCTAACAAGGGAATCTTGTGAGCTGCAAGAGGAATACCTGGAAGTTTTTTTTTTATTTTTTAAATAAAAAAAGTTAATGTTTTATAAATGATAAACAGAAGCTGATCCCTCACCTGCAGTATCTGATCTCCAGCTAGCAGTCTCCCGTCTCGTGCAATGACCCCGTCTCGGTACACCTCCTGGATCACTATGTTGATGAGAGGCGTCTCATTTCCTCCCACGATGCTGATTCCCAGCTCAACATACGGGTTGGCTCTGTGGACCTCTATGGTTGTTATCTCTCCTTCGGGAAGGGAGGGTAACTTTACGCACCCTAAAAGACAAACCAAACAGCTGTAGGTCACTTTCACAAGAGACAAGCGTACCCAGAGAAATGAAGGATGACATACCTTCCTCTGCAGACAGAGGTGGGGACTCAGGGCAGTCCCAGCCAGAGGAGGTGGAGCTGACAGAGCGGAGGAGATGGATGCACGGGTTACTGAGGGGCCGCTTCACCCTAGGGACCACACACTCCAACCCCACCACACCTGGGAACAGGCAGAGCAGAAAAACATAAAGTCTTAGCTTATCATTTTCCTTCACTCACAGGAAGCCTGGAGGATCAGCTCACTGTCTTCTTCATTGCTTTCTTCAAATGCAGGGTTGTCGAGGCCGGCGTCGTCGGTCCATGCAGATCCATTGCTGCAGGCGGTAGTGGGGCCAGAGTGTGGCGAAGGCGAGCGGTCTCTCAGGTCTGTCTGCGGGGAGTGAGGCGACATGGGAGGGGTGGTCACCATGGCTCGCTCATCGCCGCTCTCACATCGTGGCCTGTCCACAGTCGTCTGCTGAGTCCCAGGACACCTTTCACCAAGAAACAGGTTGTTACACCATCAGATTCCTCTATTTGGAACAGATTTTTGACAACTACATAACTTTATGAGTTGGACTTATTTTACTTGTTAGGTTCTTTGGGACTTGTAATTTGACACCATTTAAGTAAAACTGTAAGGATCTGAATTAAAGAGAAGTAAAGCATAGACTGAGAAACCCTTTCCCAGCAAACTGATGTTGAATTCTGCATCAGTTTCTGCACTGAAAAGTGAAAACTGTTACAATTTTATGCAAAATCTCCCTTACACTGACTGTTTCTTTATGAGTTAGTATGTTCTAGACAGTACATTTCATAATGCATCTCCATTCTTCTAAACTTTACCTCAGTCTATACTCTTGTAGCTTCAATTGTAAGATGGGAGCTAGATAAAACTATTTTGATAATTCTGGAAACAGTGGTGTGTAACTTAAATAGAGTCGCAACAATTTAAAGAAAAATGGCATAGCTCAAACAAATCGTAAAGATATTTTAAAACAATCTTCCATGTTTTGTTATCCTGAAGAGAAATGACAGCTGTGGTCAAACTTAGTCTTCTAGCCATAAATTTGTAAACAACTCACAGCATTCACACTGTGAAACTGAATTCGAATTGCTTCCAAGTCGGCATGTAATTTGACATAATTGGTTTAAAACCCAAATATGTTGAGATGAAAATAAAAACAACAATTTGATATGCTTAGAAAAGCTTTATCACCAAATATGCACCCAAAAATAAAAAGCTCTACCTCCCCACCAGCATCTCTCTGTGTTTTTATTCTGGTAAATGTAATGAAAAAATTTGAATTTTGGTTTCCTCCTTATGGAGGAAAGCACAAGGAAATTTAAAAATGATCATGCATAATAATAATAAAATTAAAAAAGGGTATTGATAATGGAAAACCACCTTTCATGGATAAAATTCCTGCAGAAATGTGGCCTTAAATTCACATTGATGGGAATTAGAAAAAATTTCACTAAAAGATTGTGCAGTCTTTTTTTACTTTAGAAAAGCTGTAAATGTTTATCTTGATAAAGTTCAGTCACATTCAGCGGCTGTTCACTTTAAATAAGAATGCTAAATGAACCTTGTGACACACACGGGTATATTTAAAAATGGCTCTGGGCTAGCGCTCTCACATGGAATCACAGTTGTCATCATAATATCAGCATGTGCAATATCAAAGGACTCTGGATGCAATACTTGGTACAGCAATATTTCAAGTGTGATGCATTCACACGCTTTTTGCAAAAACATGACTCACTGCTTCTGATGTACAAAGTCAGAATAATTTTAAGTGAGATGTCAAAGTTTGTGGCAAGCTGGTAGAAACTTCTTGATGACAAAAAGGAAGCAGACAGAGGACAGAAATGCAATACATTTTTATTCAATATTATTACTGCAATAATAAATTAAAACTGTCAAATTGCATCCGTCCCTGACATGCAGACACTTGCTTTATGTGCTTGAAAAGGCTGGGTATGAAAAGATCAAAGCTGCTGATGTAAGGAGAGACCCTTCTTTAAAAATACACACCAACAAATAGACTCAAAGGATTAGGCTGTTCACATCCTTGTTTGACCCTGCAGTCTTTACTTCAAGCAGTATACAGGTGGGTGAAGCAACATAACAAAGGTCTGCTGAGAAACATTCAAAGGAACTGTGTGCAATGACAATAGGAAAAAGTACTAGGTCTCTGTTTTCAATCAAAAGATGCATTAGATAATAATCAAGAAAACCTTAAAGAAGAAACTTTATTGCTACCAATAACAAACAAGCCCACATTGAACACAAATAAAATGTTGCATTTTGGCAGATCTTCTGCCCTGTTATCCTGATTTCTAATCCGCAACATAAACAACATTGACTCTCAATGTCACATGCGGACTGCAGACCCTTGGCTCCGATTAGCTTCTTACGGCAGCAGGGTAAGCGTGTGTGGAACCCACGTGGGGCCAGAGAATAATCTTAATTAAAAATGTCATCTTGTGAAACTCATTTGATCTGTCTTACATCATCCCTTCTTGACATCTCAACATGAAACTGGGAAAATGAGTATTGAACACATCGACTTTTTGGATAAATGTATAAAATTCTCACCAGGTGTTGGTAACAACCCAAATAGGAACTGGTCCATAATTAGGGTGAATGTGTTAAACGAGAATGATACAGAGAATAGTTATTGGATATCTAATCAAAATGGGCTTTAAAAACAACAGAAAAATTAGTTCTATCAATATTTGGAAAGCAATCAGGGCAGAATGGCATTAGTCCTAATTGACGGTCTGCAACCTTATTGTTGCGAAACATGCTGAAGAGGGAATCTTTTCTGAATTTCTCAATATTCCACTGATCACAATTGAAGCCATAATCCAGAAGTGGTGCTAAGATTATTTCCCTATAAAACAACTACTTGCTCCTCTGTCTGAGAAGTCAAAAAGTAAGCGAGACAAGAAGTAATGCACTCAAATTCCTCATTACACACTCACAGCACAAGACTCCACTAATGAAGAAAACTAATTGAGTTTTGTTTAACTCTTGCTGGAGAATATTGGACAAGCAGGAGGAGTATGATCTGGCCAAATGTAACCAAAGTTAAAATATTTTGAAAAAAAAAAGATGTGAGTTTTGAAGGTGCGGACATCATGATGTGACAATGATCGCGTGACTGAAGGGATGACAAATTTACATATTTGCTGAGATATTCTTAACTAGAATCTGAAGATGAAATGAGAGTGGAACTTTGAGCATGACAATAATCCCAAGGAAAGTTCAGCTGTTGAAATGACCAATTCAATCACCAAATTAGTCAAACCCGAGAAACGCAGGCAATTCTAGTTCCTGAAAGCACAAAGAGGGCACCGTCTTAGCTCAAAGAAAAATCAACAGCTCTCCTATTAAAGCACCTGTTTCTCAGCCGTTTCTATCATCCTGGTATAGACAGCATGCTAAGCTTCTTAAGGAACACATCCTCAATTTCAGTGTGGTGTCAGGCTGGCAGTCAAACATTCATGCATACAGCAAGAGGCAACCCCACTGATCAAGTCTACTCTTATCCTTAAATAAAGATCTTTATATGTTGATATGATATTTACACATTTGCATAAATTACATCACCTATTTTCACAGATGAATATCCTACAGCAAACTAGATGGATTAAGGAAATTGACAAACGCATACCAACCAATAGAGAAATGGAATAATCAATTAAAACAGTCATCCCAAGTACAAAAAAAAGAGAGTACACTCAAGTGGACACCAGTAAGAAAGAGATTCTTTTATATCCCCAGAACTGTCATCACGTCCCACCGTGTCCCACTCACCACAGTCCTGGGTTGCCCTTGGCCGTTTCACAGAAGAAGTGGTTGAAAAGATCTCTGGTGTTGAAGTTGCCCAGCATAGTTGTGAAATGAGAACATGAACCTGCTGGCCAGCCAACCTATGACTGCGGTACGGAACCACTAATCCTCCATCACATGACCCACAGCTCAATAATCCCTTCTGGGTCTGACAGCACCTGGTCCAAATGGGCCGAGAGCCAAAGTGTGTAGAAGTTAAAGGTAATGTGGGTGAACCTATCTGATTCTTATACTGGGAAAACAAAAAGACAATGAAGAGTGAATAGTTCAGGCAGACATAAAATCAATATTTATTTTTTTATTGGTAGACGAGTTTTATTTCAATATCAACCATGAGCGTTCACAAGAAAGAATGAGGTATTACGGTATGTCGAGTCGAGTGCCAGTATAATAACCTAATCTAATCTTCCATACTGCTTTCTAAGCCATCCTACTGCAACACGACCACTGCACTAGAAAGTTTCCTCACAATCGACATCTTTTTCCTTTGTATATGTGGGAGGTTTCTGAACCAGTTCAGCTTTGCTGCAGAGAAGCAAATACTGTCAGTATTTTTGAGCTGCTTATAAGCAGCTTGATCTGCAACCAGATGAATTCACAGCTTCCTCCAGTCTCCAAGCAACCACCCAATGCGGAGTTTGGAGATGTGCGCCTTCCCGCTGCTGCGCTTCTTATGGGGAGCCCCGCACACAATGATCTTTATTTGGAAGAATCTGACCATGACTAATCATCACTGTATTTGAAAAAAAATCCCAGATTGACCAACGAATCAGAAAAAGAAGCTGTGGGATCACTGAGGCGTGTGGGACGTTTTTTTTTTTTTAGCACATGTAGTTGAATATCATCTACATAGAAAAGGAAATAATTGTTGTCGTGAAAAGATTATGCAAAAGAAATGCATGCAGATAGATAGTGATTAGTTTTGCGACCAAGGACTGCTTCTTGATGTAAACCACCATTCGACTGACCTGATGAGGGTAAAATATTGCACAGACATATTGCATAGAGGGCATTGTTTAGCCTGTGTGAGGTAGTAAATTCAGGGCAGGGTCATTATGATCCCACAGGATAAAACAAAATACTTCTATTAATAGTTTTTTAGCTGGGGCGAATCAAAAGAAAATGCAATCCTGGCATCTCCACTGTCAGCACTTAGCAAGCACTTAACTGCCAAACTAGTAAAGCCTTTTGTAGACACCTTACAAACTGCCATAAAACAGAAGTCTCCTTATCTCTAAATTGTTTATGAAATACCAATTGACAGGCGCACATAATGTCTGACCTATGTGTACACAGCTTGCATCAATCCATCACTTGATTTATGAGTTAATTTCATCAGCTTTATTACCTGTGCTTGAGGTGCGCCTCCAGGTCACATCGAGGCATGCTGAGGGAGCAGACGGGACTCAAAGGGCAGGTCACAGACAGCTTGTCTAGCAGCTTGTGCACCAGGATGCTGGATCTGCGGCATGCCTGCAGCTGCAGCCTTGTCCTGTCCAGAGGGCAGAAATCCCTTTCCTGGAGGAAGCTGCGCAGGCAGCGGGCGCAGAAGGTGTGTCCGCACGGCGTGTCGAGGGGCTGCACCAGCGGCTGCAGGCAGATGTGGCACACAAGGTCGTCGTCCACCTCTAGGCGGTAATTATAAAGGTGGTTCTCCCAGCTGCGGTGGATCTGGCCACACTCTGGACACGAGGCCTCCAGGGGAGGCTCCGAGGGCTTGACCACGTCTACGTCGCAGCCAGGGCTGCCCATCGCTTCTCCTTCGGCGCAGCTCAGCTTTGGCACAAATGACTCCAGTTGGGCTGCAGGGATGGGAAGGGGCACACACTCCTATCCCATAGGCCTCAAACGTTGAATAGGTTGCAGAGAGGACAGAAGCCCTCCAGCAGCTGATGACACATAGCCCTGCAGGTCAAAGGGCACAGCAGGAATTATCAACAGCTGTTTCAGGAAAACTAGTGTCTCATTATACGCTTGCGAAATTATTCATGTGGCAAATGCCTTGTGCACGTGTTTGCGCTAAGTGCGTGCGTGAGAGCCTGCCGAGATTATGTATTGCGGCTCCTGTCCGCTAATCTGACGGTATAATCTCTCTTTTGCTCTCGCCTGCTCCAATCTTCCAATTCCACAGAGAGGGAATTATATGGGATTGAGGCAGAGAGAGGACTCAGATCAGAGAAAGTGGGATTGAGAAAAGCAGAGGCAAAGTCAGCAGGAGGTAGGGAGCAGCAGAGGCAGAGAAGGAGATTTGAAGAACGGTGAAAGAGATCAACGGGATGCGTAAACAGACACAAAGCAACCGACAGACAGGAGGGAGGGACGGAGGCTGCAAATGCTGCGAGGAGAGAACAAAGGAAAATGACAGGTTGGATTTATGCACACTCCAGGTTCAGTGGAGGCCCTAAGGACATGCCTTAAGCAAGATCTTGAAATAAAGCACTAAGCTGAGCTTTGGGGGTCCCTGAAGCTAAAGGGGAGAGTCTGCTCAGATGTACAGCAGCTCTCCATTGAATCTCAATAGTTTACACAACAACCCTGTTCAATTGTAAAAAAAATTACACCATGATAAATCATTTCAAAACTTTTTCCACCTTCACTGTCACATATTTATTGGTGTACAATTAAACCAAAAATATATGTTAGTTGCAAAAATCCAAAAAGATAAATAAAGACACACCAACCTGGTTGCATCAATGTAGACAAATTATTTATTTAAGCAACTTTTGATTTAATATCAGCATTTATTCTGAGTCTAATTAACCTGAATTAAAGCAATGTTGTATGACTTTTTGTAACTATCTCTACTGTTTTCCATACATCCTACTTAAGGAATAGCATTTCAGAATACTCTTTTCTTCCAATGACACCAGGCAGCTACAATCCTCAAATTATTTTGTGAGAGAAAGTGTTATTGTCCAAATAAACAAAACCACACAACACAAAGGCATGTTTAGTATATGAATAACACTAAAGATCTCCGAAGGAACACAAGGCATGGAGGTAGTAAGTTGATGAAATTATGAACAGTTCCAAATTCTGGTCATTTCGGATCCAAAACCTGCAGATGCCTGCTCAGTGGTGGCTCTGCTGTCGGTGTACCCCTCATTCCAAAGCACATAGACTCGTCTCCTAATCCTCAGTACTAACCAGCAAATGCCTTCTCAACCCGTTAACTGCCTGCACAAAAGCAATAAAAGGTGGACAAAGTTTTTTTTTTTAATTATTATTATTCTGATAGTCACGTTTATTTACCTCACAAAAACATTTTGACAGGAGGGCTGCACTTAGAATCCACTGTATATAAACCTCATCATCACCACCCAATCCCCTTCCTGTGTGGGCCTGATGCCATCAGCTGACGATAGAGGGCGCGCTTCTCCCCTCAGCTGGCTCCGGCCAAGCCACAGTGACTACCTGCCTCTGTTCCTGTCTCCATGACGATCTGGATCCTGTTCTGCTCGCTGGGGCTTGACATTCAGAGTGAAGCCAGCGAAGGATGCAGGGGACTGAGGCACACAGCAGATGCACTTCTCCCAGCAGGATGCTCTATTCCTCCCCACTATACAGCCACGAAAGCTTGTCACAGGGTGATCAACGCCCCCCGACCCCCCCCCCGCCCTTTTCTGTTTGATTTGCCTTTTTAGCTGCATTTTGCCCCCCCACCCCCTTCCCCTTTTAAATCTACCCAGCAGTTACCTACATGTATGTCTCCTTCCTTTATGTGTGACTGGAACGCTTCTGTCCCCATCCCGCAGCTGGACATGAATTAATCATGAAGACACAAGGCTCCTCTGTTTCTATAACAAAGCTGTGACATCACCACAAAACACGCAGGCATGCAAGTCAAAAAGCAAACAGGCACACGTCAAGCACAGGAGCCTTTTTCTTCTTCTTCTTCTTCTTTAGGCAGCAGACCCCTGAGAAACTAACCTTGTCAATAAGTAAAGACTTCAGATGTCCCAATTATGAAAACATCCGTTTTAAACAGGGGAGGACTCTGTTGCGAAGTAAACCTGAAGCTCGTAAATCATTTTTGCAATCCTTTATAAACCCTATTAATAAATGACAGGACTGCACCTGTCATTCTGCATAATCAAACCCCACAGTGATACATAAACATGAGAAGTTTAACGCCACAGATCTCAAAACTCGAGTCCTTTCGGTTTAGCCCACTTTTTTTTTTTGATAAAACCCCTCATCCTGAAAAAAAAAAGATAAGAAGGAGGCCTGCTGCTGTTCTGCAAGGTCTGTTGCAACTGACTGCTTTCCCCCGTCCACGCAACTACGAGACGGATATGCAATGATGATAACAAAAACTGCCACTGGTTAAACTGGAAATTGAAATCCCCCGTTTGTTTGTTTACCCCCTCTCGCTGTCATTATCCTCTTTTTTTTTCTGGGCAACGCACAAACTGCAGCGTCATAATTTCCAATCGTATAGACAGGAAAGATGTTGAAATGACCCCCCCCCACCACCACCACCACCTCTCCATCTGTCTGACTCCATCCCGCCCTCCTTCCAGGAGCGGCAGAGCGAGGACAGAGGGACAGAAGGACAGAAGAAGCGACTGTCCCAATGCAAAGCCAGCCACACACTGACACCACTCATGCATGCAGATGTGCGGGATGATAGCTACCTTTTCCGCCGGCGGCTCCTCCGCGCTGAGCGCTCGGGCCCCGAGCAGGGCCGGTGGGAGGGGTGGTGGTGGTGGGGAGGGGGGGAAGGCGGACAATTGTCAGCGGCGGGACCTCGATCACGCATTCGCCGCAACCGAGCGGACCGCAAACCCGCACAAAAACGCCCCCGTGCCTTTGCTGACGCTGGCTCCGCCTACTTGTGTCAATCAAAGCGCGAGTGGGCGGGATCTGAGTGCGCCAGTGGAGGTGGAGGTGGCTTGTTTTCTGCCTGCGCAAAAACCTACTTTTAAAAAACCTTGGCTGTCTTGAGTTTAATGTATTTATGTAAACGCGTGTAATTTTCATATTCACGCAACATTTCAGGGGGTGGTTTATGTCTTTCTCAAGACTCATGCATTTCAGTGGTTTTTAATATGGGACTTGTGGCTCTTTGCCCAGGGCAGCATCCATTTAGGGAACGGAAAAAAAACTCGACAGAAAAATGTTAATTCTTGCCTTTACGGAGGTTTTACCTATCTGTCAGTCTGTCTGCCTGTCTGGTATTTTACAGTAGATGTCCTGGAGGACATCATCAATTGTTTCTTACGCCTCTTGTACTAATGGTGCTCCTCTTTCAATTTCAGTCTCTCCACATGGTTAGAAAGGCCAGGCAAACGACACTGAAGTCAAGGATATGATCCTTACCCAATGTGGTTTACAGTGATGCTTTGAACTTCCCCTTCCTTTCTCTGCCATGTTCCTTTTCAACTACTTTTGAGAAATTTGCATAAAAGATCAAACAAAAAAGGCATGAAGCATAACTTCTAATCAAATGTTTTATTTTAATTAAGGTGAAAATATTCATATAAAACAGAAACTTAACATGTCAAGGAAAAAACATCAGCAACTCACATATATTCAGAAACTCACAAATCAGGCATTCTTCACGGCTGCCAAAAGCCCGAGGTCCTTGGAGAGAGGCCCTCTAGGGGAAGTAAACGGACGGGAATGCAACATTAACGCTACAGACGTTGAATTAGAGATGAAGTGTCTCTTTGTATAGCAGCTCGTAACTGTTTGTTTTGAGCCGGGAAGAGATGGCAGAAGATAACGATCTGGAAAAGTGAGTAACTTAGTCGCTGTTTTGTTTCCCCGGGCGGCGCAAAGTGGACAATGTCCGGCGCTTGTTTCGCCTCCAAACTCGACCCCCAGTCCATCAGCAGCATGCCCGCTTCTCTTTATGTGCAATATTTCTGAAAAACGCGTCCACGCACCACGTGAAGCTCGTGATCACCAGCTGGGGTTAAACGGAGACACTGCCCGCTGTCATATGAGTTTCCTCTCGCCCCTTCCTGTCCCTTTGGCTCCACGCTGAGTGTTTGTGTCCTGTTTGAGCTCAGTTTCCTGTGGATCCGTCTGTCCATGCAGGCGCGCTGTGGAGGAGCTCCTCAGGGAGACCGACAGAGCCCGGCTGAGAGCAGAGACCATGGGCCCCGCAGGATGGTGAGCTGGGACTCTTGTGTTAAACGTATTGCTGATGTTCTTTTCATCGACCAACAGGTGGGCGGCCATGTCGCTCGTGCCAAACGCTGTGCATTTCCAAAATAATGGATCGAAGAATTGTTATTGTTTGGCAAAAGCCTATACCGTTATACATGCCGATATATCGTGCGTCCCTACTTTATATCCCAGTACGGCTTTAAACCTGTCTTCTGTTCCTCCTTCTCCCTTGACGAACATTGTTACCATTTAACCACTAAAAGTACTCAAGGCATTTGAATGTCTGGATGACGGGACAATTTTTTAACTTATTTGTTTTCTTATAAACCTCTGAACCCTTCATAAAAGAACTGGGTTCTACTGAAATTATAGTTTGAACATATCTAGAGGAAAGGGGGCTGAAAGCATGTTCATGCCACACCTTTCAGATTTTTACTTGTAGAATATTTTAGTAACTTTTTTTCTATTTTCAAATTATTTTATAGTTTATGTTAGTGAGAAAAAGAGTTTGTTATTGTAACATAATAAAAGGCAGAACAAATCGCAGGGTATCAAAATGAGCTAAAGATGAAGTCTATCCTTGGTGCTGTGCTGTATAGCTGATGTGAGTTATGACCATCCGAGTCCTTTATATCGTCCATCTCTTCCTCTGAGTGTCTGTCGTTCTGACGGCTGGATTGACCCACTGTGTTCCCCTAACAGGTTGAAATGCCCCCTGCAGGGCACCAACAAGCGTTTTCTCCTCAACACGCTTCGCTCCACAGACCTGCAGCGCCGCTCCGACGTGTCCAGGTTCAGTCGCTCCGGCGACACGAGAGGACGCATGAGGAGCGAGTCCCCGGACAGACGCCGCGACCGCAGCAGATCGCCGCCAGCAGATCACAGGAGCAGCGGAGGCCGCGCGGAACGCAAACGCTCTCCTTCCCCTCCTCGAAGGGACGGCCGCACAAGTCGAGATAAGAGGTTGGACAGAGACAAGGACCAGCAGCGCAGGCACAGAGACGACAGAGACAAAAGACATGACGATGGACGGAATAGAGACAGAAGCAGACGGATACAGACTTCATAAGCGGACCTGGCTCTGTCTGGGGGAGACGAACCCAGGTCTCAACACTCTGAACCATCTCAGGCTTTCAGAACTGGTGTGATGTAGAAGATTGCGATTTATCAGACACAATTTAGGTTCAAAAAGTAAAGTGTGTTTTACTGATTATTTTCTGTTTGAGATTTTGGTGAGATTCATGTGTATTTATTGTCCTTTTTGGTTCTTGTTCACTAAAATGTGACCTAATAAAAGCTCAAGCTGCCGTTCCGTTGGCATCTCCCCGGAAATCTCTTTTCAGCAAACATTTTCTCCTCCTCCCTTCTCACCTGACTCACCCTCAAGTCCAGCTGCGTTTCACCGAGCCGCCATTATAATGCCATTACTATTCTTCAGCTGCTGTTCACACGTCATGGTGTTGACACAGCCCATGCTGCTGTCGCCACAGGCCAAGCTCAGTTTTATCGCATGTCCGAGATTTTGTCTGGCGATCTGAAAGTGTTTTGTTTGCTATATCAGATAAAAAAAGAACATGTTTTCCTGACACACCTTTACTCACTGGTCCAGATTTGCCTTATTTCTAAAACACCATTGCTCAAATAATCTCAGCCTTGTTTCTTGAACACTGCAATAGCTCCCCCACATCCTACAGATGATTGTGTTCCAGAGTAGATTAAACACAAAGAATGCAACTATTATCACCCTGAAACACACCAGTGACTCTTAAAACTCACTCAAGCTGCAGTCTTTGGTTGTTGCTGTTGCACAACACCTTTTACCTTCACTAAACCCTCCTTTTTATATGGTTGGATGCAGAACTCCGTGAACAGCCGGGTTCTTCAGCAGCGACCTTTTGTTGTAAATGTAGACATTGAATTGTCAGCTGATGCAGCGAGCAGTTTTCCCACATAATTTTGCAGGACAAGGCTTTCTGATTTTAGCTGCCACCTGTAATCTTCTAATTTAACATACAAATAAATGCTGGAAATAAAACCACACAGCTGGAAGAAGCCTCACTTTTTGAACTTTATAGTGACACGAAGGAACTTTTCAGTGATACTCTAATGAATCTGTATGTCTCTGCTGTCTGCAGTGTAAGCCTGATAAATCGATGTGTATGGGTGCAAACATTGCTTGACCTGCGAGATAAAGGGACCCGGTAAAGCAGCCACGGTCGTCCTAGAAACGCGCAGCGGAAAGCTCGGACGCGGGGATGTCCTGTTTTCCACCACCGTTTTGTTCACCCCTGTCCGGCGTTCGGCGCGGATCCATTACGCGTTTCTCGATGCATCATTTAACACCACTTTCTCCCAGCAGCTCCGCGCGGACCAGAGCCCCTGGCGACGACAAACAGGGCTGCTGCTGCGGCCGCCGCACTCTCGCCGTGTTTGCTCGCCATTAGCCTCTCGCGGCCCTGCGTGCGGCGCGCGTGTGCGTCCGCCTCATTAAACAGCGGCGCTCGCGGAAAGCCAATTAAGCTGGAGAGAGCGGCAGAACCCAATTAGCCGCAGAGTGTCTGGAGCGTGACTCCGCAAGCTGCGGACCTCCAACCCCGCGATGTCGCAGCGACTTTAAGACGCGTTCGTTTACACGCAAAAAAAAAAAACTTCCTGAACGAAGCTCCTTCGTCTCTGGCGGCGTGTGCAGCGTCAACGGACTGTTTGCAACGAGATCTTCAAATGCAATTATGGCACTTTGCACCGTATCTTAATGGGGGCACTCTGCGACGCAATAAAGTTCAAGTAAACCAGTTCTACACACAACACCCACCTGCATTATGTCTTAATGGTATTTATATTTGATCATTGTTGCAAAGAGGAAGGAAACTGTTAACTCGGGCTATTCTCCACTATGTGGTTTATGAAGCATGATGTGCCTCGAATGCATTTTAGATAACTTTCCGAGCAATTTTAAGGAGGGCGACAGGAGGGATGATGACACTTAAGTACAGAGAGGTGAGATGGGGAACTGTGATAGCAGAGAGTGAGCAGGCCTGTAAATCTGTGGGCCAATAAAGAGACAGATGGATGGACAAGATATAAACAGCATGAAATCAGGAGTAAGTGACACTCTGCTGCCCTGAAAATCTCCCTGACTTCAGAGTTTGACATCTGGATCAATCCCATGCAGGAGAAGCACCCTTCCTCCACTCCTTTTCCGAATAAATTGATACAATTTATTTCATAACAATAACTTTTCTTGCAAAAGGTTATAGAAATTGGGTCCTCTCGTAAATCAGTTGTTAAGCTCACTTTCGTTTCTTTAAAATAACCTTAGTTACATTTGATCATGTCAAAAATGAGCAGAAAAATCAGTTATTCAGTCATTGATCCCATACAAATATATCACCTTTCATTGTGATTATTAGCACAACATAATGCCTCCTCCCTCGTGCTTCACAGTTGGGATGGCGTTCCCCGGATAGTTGTCCTCTTTTAATCCCCAAACACCTCAGGTTTGTTTCCATCAGCTCCCCAAGACATTTCTTATAAAAATAATGTCATTATCCCTGAGTTGATGGGTTGGTCTGAGTATCTAAATCTCGCCTGACTTCTATTTTTGCTGCCACCTCATGCTTAAGGTGTTCCCTTAGAGTATATCCACAAGAACTTAGCACTCTCCAGATATATATCTGTAATGAATCTTTGTAATATTTTTAAAGAATAAAATCACTGAAGCAACATTAAGTGATAGGCAAAAGCTTTGAGACTCAGAGACCTTTTGTCTGTACCTTACTGCGTCAATTTTTACAATTTGCATTTAGTCTCGATTGCTATGACGAAAGAATCAAATGAAACAATTTGCAAAGTTAATGTGAAAAATGAACTAAGCCCTTCCACAAAATAACTTGCAAACTTAATTTTAATGACCTTATAGTAGAAGTTATTTTGGCTGAATTGCATCAAAAGGCTTTCAGCTCAAGTGAAGAAATTCATTTGCTGGGAAGAGAACTTCAGTGCATCAAAGAAGGTCTTAACAAACTCACTTACCTTCTCCTATAGGGTTCAACTAAGATCGGGGTGCCTCCAGTGCAATGCTTACTGAAGAATGGTAGCAGGTATGAGTGTGAAGTGAAGATTTTATATAAAACCTTCCGGCACTTTTGCAAAAAGAAAGTGGCATCAATGAGGTTTTGTCCCTGAATAGGACATCACAAACATCGAAACTCAAGACTGAACTGGAGATAAACCTCAAAGACTTTATAAAATGTAAATGATACATTTCTGTATGAACAGATGGATGCAGGTGAACGTTGTTGTATTTGCAGAGCGGCACTGATTTACGCGCTCTGTTCAGAATCTCCTGGAAACTGGCCGCTGTCGCTCTCCCGTTTTGTGCAAACAGTGAAACCAATGGCTTGGTGCGCCGCAGGGTCACATGGTGTCAGAGGGACACACCTGTGCGGAGCCCGCGGGGGCCTTGCAGTTGCGCCACAGGTGCGTAAGAGCTGAAGGTCCACGCCGAGGCAGGATCGCAGGTACTCAGCCTCGGGTCCTCTCCAACCATGAATCGGGACGACGCCTTCTACCCGTCTCCGGTTTTTAAAGACTCCTGCGCCTATCAGAGATCTCCGGGAGATGACTACAGTCCGCCGCCCTGCCTCTACATGAGCAGGCAGGTGCACTCCGTGTACACGCCGCCGTCCCTCGGCACCCTGGAGCAGGCCAGCCTTCCCGACATCGCTCCTGCGGCTTTCACTATGCCCGGCATGCGGGAGGATCCGGGCGTGCCACCGCTCCACCACCCGCAGGGCCTCCAGCAGCAGCCAACACTCCAGCCTCCGGGTTATATAGACGCAGGAGAGCAGAACAGATATCACCTCCCTTTTCCCTGGATGAAGACCACCAAATCCCACTCGCACACCTGGAAGGGCCAATGGACAGGTACAAAAAAAACAAACCCCGCATATAAATAGAGGAAAGAAAATAAGTGTGTATGATTATTTTTAAAGAACCCACAATGCGGAATCAATTAATAAATCGGAGCTCTATTTGACTCTCTGAGGGCTTCTACATCTTAGAAGAGGGCTTCAATTTACTGTATGAGATCAGCGCTTCCTATATAGAGCCACAACTTGATACTGCAGCACTTAGATACTGAAACTTAAACTTGTAGCGAGACCTACAACTTATGAGGAAATTATACCCATTTAGAAATATAAATAGATTATTAATGTGGTGTGTAATCTTTAGGATGACATATAAATGTCGCCAAGACTTCTGTCCCTGTACGTTAAAAACAAATGACCAGAATAATTAGAGGAAAAATGCACCAACGCTTTCTTTATCATGAATTTTAAATTAGTTATATATATATATATATATATATATATATATATATATATATATATATATAATATATATATATATATATATATATATATATATATATATTATATATAATATATATATATATATATATATATATATATATATATATATGAACTGTGTATTTCTTTCAGTTTAATCAAACTTACAAACTACCTTAAGATGATTAAATAAATAAATGCACGTCTGATTGCTTAGTTCTTAAAAACTTTGGTTGCGTATAAAATATATTTTGACTTAATGGTTATGAGAAATAAAACGAGCAGAAAAAGTGCTTTTTTACATAAAAACAGGAGGATAAAAAAAATTAAGAAAAAACCCCCAGAAAATGCTAAACGACTAAATAATCCCCTTAATTTAGGTTAGTAAAATTAAATAAACTGAACTAAAAAAGAAACATTAACTTAAATGATCAAGATGACACAATAGTTGCCATTTTCTAACGAACTAGTTTTGAATAAATCAGATGTTTATTTTGTGTTAAATTATAAATTTGTTGTTTTGTTTCTGATTTTATGATAAATTATTTGGCTCTGCTCTAAGTTTTAGCACTCCCCCTCTGTCCCCCGCTCCAAAAAAAAGTTTTATTAAACTGTCTTAAAGAAAAAAATATCAGAATTACGTCATATAAAAGACTCGGAATCTGATTTTGCTTTCCAGGGTCTTACGTGATGACCGAGGCAGAGGAGAACAAGCGCACGCGGACCGCGTACACGCGCGCCCAGCTGCTGGAGCTGGAGAAGGAGTTCCTCTTCAACCGCTACATCTCGAGGCCGCGGCGCGTGGAGCTGGCGCTGACCCTGAGCCTCACCGAGCGCCACATCAAGATCTGGTTCCAGAACCGGCGCATGAAGTGGAAGAAGGAGGAGGACCGGAGGAGGGCCAGGGAGTCTGAGCCGGACCAGGACTCTTCCATCACCTCTGGGGATCAGGGAGAGACCGCGGGGGCGGGAGTGTCTTCCTCGAATGGACCTCACACCAGCACGCCCCCTGTTTCCCCACTGCACGGCCACACGTTGTCCGCGTCGGGGTCCAGAGAACCAGCGTAGACGTGGACAGCACTCGCTCTTAACTGGATTATATAGGAAATATATATATATTTTTTTGTTGCACAAAGATAAGGCTATTCTGACAGCAAGTTAACGGACTTGGCAAGATCCCCTCATTCATTCCAGTGTTTTTATTTTTATTTTTACATGGAAAATGTGGCTCACTACCCAGGGCGCCATTCATCCAGGGAGCAGAAATCAGTCAATCAGTGAATCAATCAATCAATCAATCAATCAATCAATCAATCAATCTATCTATCTATCTATCTATCTATCTATCTATCTATCTATCTATCTATCTATCTATCTATCTATCTATCTATCTATCTATCTATCTATCTATCTATCTATCTATCTATCTATCTATCTATCTATCTATCTATCTATCTATCTATCTATCTATCTATCTATCTATCCATCCATCCATCCGTCCATCCGTCCGTCCGTCCGTCCATCCATCAAGTAGGAAACATGTTTACTATTGTATACATTCAAGATATCAGCATCCACTTGTGCATATAAGTTTAAATCACATGCTTTATTAATTACACTGTTTAAAGGTGTAGCTATATGCTAACTTTGAAATAAAAACGTATACAAGTATTGAAGTATTGCAGCTCCCTGTTAAATGTGCTGAAACTGGAACAGAGAGGCTTTATAGCTTGTTTGTCGCGTCAGAGAGCACGAGACCTTGGAGACGCAGGCGGCAAATCTTCTTCACCTCCGCAATGCCGCGCGCCCTTTCCGCCGCGCGCTCGTTCCGGCAGCGCTCAGAGAGCTCGCGCAAGATGGTCACCTTGTCGCTCATCCGCGCGCAGATGACAAACGGGAAGCCGAAGCGCCCCTTGTACTCCTCGTTCAGCCGCGCCATCTGCGAGGCCTCGGCCGAGCTCAGCGCGTCCATCCCGGCTCGGGTCTGCTCCTCCTGGGACTCCCGGGTCAACGCACCGCTGTGGAGAAGCTTGCCCGCGAGGTCCGGGTGACACCTGAGGATCCCCTCCTTACCTGGACACATCCGGCGACTCATTAGAGGCTACTCCTCCCAGTGTGAATATGATGAATGACAGGGCAAGACGCGTGAAAGGCGGCAAACATCCTTGAACCTCACCCGACTCTGGGAGAGCATCGACGAATTCATTAATCGCAGCTTCCAAAGCGCTGAAGCTCGAAAAGGGACGATGGGTCCAGACTGCGGCTGTTATGAGAGGACAGTTCTCCACGACATTACCGAAAATATTTATGAAATCTTCATAAGGAAGAGCATTTACTGCCAATATGTCCATGGGGACAGTTTTTTTTTGGTTGTCCGGGTAGTGTTTAATGACCTTCGGACACTTTTGAAAGCAGGTTAAAGCACTGCTGGACGTTCAACTGTCAAAAGGTCTGATCTCTGGCGACACCTAGCGGCTATAAACCACAGAACAAGACACAAGCGAGTAGAGAGCCTTGCACAACTATTCGCCTGTGAACTTCGATGTCTTCTCAAGTTCAAATAACAAGCCTTAATGTATTGATCGGGAGTCCAATATTTTAGTACAAAATAAAACGTTCTATTTTTATTTATTTATTTTGGCAAACCACCAAAATTCTCCAGCGCTATGGGGAATTTTTCTTTCAGCTCCGTACGGGTAATTGTTGTTGTTAGGTCCAACCATCTGGATCATCTGAAGCTGTGGCTGATGTTGGGATTTCTGTTGAAGACCAAAAAGGTTTAGTGTCTTCTAAGGTTTTGCCTGTGTCTATGCTGATATTGCGTGTGACTGCACATACCTTTTTCTTGATGTAGTTTATTAGATTAGATTATTGCCAGAGCCAGGAGCAGAGCCATTATGCCAATTTTAAGTGGCATTAATAAGCGACCATCAGAAGGTTGATTACCTAAGAATATGTAAACATGGTAGAAGTCAGCTATAGCAACGTTACTGAATGAATGTCAAGGGTTTGAGATCTTGTCTTACCTATGGTGGCTTGGGATTTGAGGATTGGAAACTCAGAATAATCCTTACTGCACCTGGACCCAGCTTGGTCCGTCAAGCAAAACTTAAATTTTGCTGCAACCATTACATTTATTGTGCTCAGATTGCTGGTGAGTTTCTGGTTACAGAATCCATCAGAAACTGAAAGATTCTTCCTCTCAATCACTTCCCAGGTTAGGTTTGTTTCAGAGCTGCAGTCAGACAAAGATCACTGAGCTTCAACAATCAGACCTACTGATGTATCAGGGCTGAGCTGTTGTGTATTACTCACCTGTTGCTGGATGATAAACTTAACATCATCCATGTAGATTCAGCAGGCAAGACAGTCACAGTCTCAGCAGAAAGATAATTATCTTTTTTGTTAATTGATGGCTCTGGTTTCTCTAGAAGGGAAATATTAATTACAGGTGATGCTGTATTTATTTGCATTTTAACAATGACACACAAGTTACATACCAAAAACACAAACACTTGTTTTCTTTGTTTCCATTTTTCCTCCAGCCTCCAGGCGAAGATTATATACTCCAGACTTTAATGTTCCACAATTCTTCACAGTCCTGAGAAAATAGTGGCACATCCAACAGATTAATGTGGTAAAAGGAAAGCTGAACAATTTCCCTTTTAGGAGTCGAGACACGAAAAAATATTTGGACTCTGAGGCTTTAAAAGTAGATTAGCAGCCAACAATAATAAAAAATGAAAAGTGTGTGAAAAACAAAGCACATCCTATTATTGAAGAGATTGTTGAACCAGTTTTAACAGCAATGACTACGTTTTCTGTATAAGTTTCTCACATCATTGTAGAGGAGTTGTGTCCCATCTGCCAGACTGATCTCACTTTAAGGTCTAATATTCTTATATACAGAGGAGCTTTTGGTCGACTCTATGGCTGCAAGATGGACCCAAAGATTGACTGGTTGCAAGTTGTTTTGAGCCTTTTTTGCTAACATGCAAATCTTTGCTTGTCAGAAAATTGTTGTTCATTCGGATGAGTTTCTGCAAACCCTAATTGTGTTGCCTCATTCTTTTTAGATAAAATAACTTTTTCATGATACAACCCCACATTGATTAGGATTTTGTGTGACACAACACTAGAAAGACTGTGATGTGAAAATACAAGATCGTTTTTTACAAATATTAAATCTGATCTGATCGTATAACATGACCTATCATTAAGTTGCCTGAGAACTTGCTTTGTGGCCTGTCTTTTGTGTTCCCTTCATGATTCTTTTTGTTCATTAATTTTTAAGCAATCACAGATTTATTCTGATGATAGATTATACACAAGTGGACATTAGTAAATAATTTGTTGGCCTTTGAAGGCAGCTGCTTGTGCTCCATTTGGATTCGACATATCCAAGTAAAGGGGCTGAATAGCAATTATTCAATCTGAAAAACATAGCCCTTGAAAAAAAAAACATATCCTTTTAATGATGTCACTGTACAATAAATCGTAAACAAAAAATGACTTTTAAAAATATTTCAATGGTAATATTTATGTTATATAATTATCTTTGAAAAATGGTTATGCTGAGATGCCGAGGCATTGCTTTATGAAACTACCTGTGCTTTGGTACTTTCTCGTCTCTGATGCATTTAGTGAAACTCCCATCAGGAGCTTCCCAGTAGCACTGCTGCAGCACTGGGTGGTAGGAAACAGTTGCTGCAAAGCAGGGGCTGTTCTGAGTTATCACAAACTGATCAGGCAGCTGGGAGAGGAAGCTCTCAGCTGAAGAGACAAGAAAATAAAATGTTCAACAGATGTATATTATTAATTCAAAAAATAAAACAATAGCTATTAAAAGGCAGTAGTTAATGTAAAGAACTGTTACTGACCTGTAACATGAACATCCACAGATTTAGTTGTGCCTGGGTTTCTGCAGGTGTATGTGCCGTTGTGTTGTGAAGTAACTGATCTGATGAAGGCATACAGCATGTGGCTCTTCAAATTCCTGTTCCTTTTAATACAGATCTGGAGAAAAACATTGAAATCATAATCATGTAGAACAATGTTTTTAAACATTGTTTTAAACATTGTTCTACATGATCGATGTCCATGTAGAACATCATAAATATGCTGATCATTAACCACAGATTAACCACATTAATCTGTGGCTAATCTGTGGTTGCATTTGAATATAATAAAACAAAAATCATAGTTTTCATTGCTGTACCTCATTAATTGCACAAGTTTCCTCCAAAACCTTGCCATCATGTTCCCACATAAGTTTAGAATCATCATTTTTTCTGCAGCGAAGCAGCAAAGGATCACCAGGACTTATGGTCACACTAGAAACCTCATCTGGTTTCACTGAAGCAGTATTTAAGTCTGAAACATAAAACACTTCAAGATATTCAACGTGTTTATTTCTATTTTTTAACTTCATTCGAGAATAATCCTGAGATGAGAGCTGTTTTCTTTCTCTGGTCAGAGTTACTGTTTGGGTTAAAACATTTCCTCATATTGGTCTGTTTTTTTATGTAATTACCAAAGTCATACAGCTGGGTGCATTCTTGTCCTTCATCGTTGGTGGCACAACACATCGCTCCTGTGTCTCCATATTTCGCAGTTGTGGCTAAGCTCTCTGCTGTCCAATCGTCAATAACATTGTTCTCATCCCTTTGGTATGGACTGAGAGGAAAGGTTGATAGTCAGAGGGTGAAATGATAAAACTATCTATGTATGAACAGAGAATCTAGTTGTCTTACATAGACCATTTAATACTGGGCCTTGGAGAACCCTCAGAGATGCATTTAAAGTAAGGAGCCGATCCTGGAGTATCCATAAGATCCAGAGACAGCTTTGGTTTTGAGGGACGTTCTAGGAAGCGCGTGAATCACATTGATTAACATAATTTTAATCCTATTACTTTATCAATATTAAGACATTTTTGTGCTTCTCTTTTTAGTTGAGTCTTAATGAAGACGAGAAGTGATGAAGCTGCGACTCACCGAGGATTCGAAGATCAACAGTTTTTGAGAAAATGGTCATCTGTTGACTTTTACAGGTCAGATTGTACATCCCACAATCATTCCTTGAAAGTCTTGGTGTGACCATGGAGACAACCCCATTTCTGGAGACGTTTAAGAAAATGTCAAACTTTACACACATAAAGAAAAGAAGCAGATCGATCAACAAGCACATAAACCTAAAAACACACTCACATGTTCATCAGTGGGCCTTGCTCTCTCCCCCACTGGCAGACAGAATAATCAGGAAGGCCCTCGAGAGAGATGAGGAGTTTCTTACCAGCTGACAACTTCAGGCTGACAGGATGAGAGTCATTCAGGTGGTCAGCTGGCTGAAAGCAATCCACCTGGAAAGCAAAACTTAGCATTCAATCCTCCTTGACAGAGAATCTTTTTGTGTTCAGTGGTGATTCTTTCTATTGTGTTACTTTATGTTGTGATAAAGTAAAAACAACGACAACCAGAATAAGCACAAAAATCAACACAAGCTAAAGACAATTGTCCCATTGTCTCAGTCAACATGAAGCCCTGCCAGTAACGATTTAAAAAAATATTGAC